GGAAGGGAGAGACCACTACCGTGGCTTGAGGCGACTTCTGGCATGGAGGAGAGGAAGGCGGGTGGAGAGGCGGTTATTGTTTGGAGGGAGAGGCCCCCTCCCTACAGGAAGCCACGACCACGTGTCACAGCAGAGAAAATGGCCGTGGATCCTGTTCGTCACCCGATGCGGAGTTCACGAATGGAAGCAAAATTTTGCGAACAGTGCTGTTCGTGACCCAAATTGTTCGTGAACAGAAGCGTTCATGACCCGAGGTACCACTGTATCTGAAATTTTACCAAAGCAAATAGAGAGTACAGGGGTGGTGGGGATGGAGAGAGAGACTCAATTCAAATAGTCAAGTATCAGTATTTGTGCAGTTATTTCTTAAAAATTCGGCATCTCTTTGTTCGCTTACTAAAGTCTACTAGGCCTGCAAATGTTATGAAATTATGTTAAAAATAAAAAAAGGTATTTTATAAGAATTTTCAATGGAAGAATCTTTGCTAATATGCTTGGAAAAACATTGCAATTACAAATAACCCTATAGTAGTAGATAAAGTCAGCAGTCCAATTAGCCATTTATAATCTCTTTTGATTATGTGCCATCAAGTTGTTTTCAGCTCCTAGTGACCACATAGATAGATTTTCTCCATGAATAATTTCTTTAGCCTTATCTAAAAGTCTTTATTTTAAGATAAAAATTGTAAATAGTTGGTTCAGAATTGTTTGGTTTAGAAACTTAGGCAATGAAAAACTTACAGTGTATTCTGGAATTAAGTAGACTGCATGGAATGTACTGATAGAACTGCAAGGACATGCCATTCAAACATTCCTGTTCTGAAAAGCAGTATTGCCTAAGCCCAGACTTGCTAACAAGTTTCAGCTTATGAAACTTTCATCTTTTCAAGCAGAGATACAGCTTTTTTACATTTGCAGACAAATTATTAATGCCAAATAATTGTGAATGTTCTCTGGAAGCTACATGTGAAAGCAACTACAGGGAGCTCTTTCTTGCCACAGGTACAATACTTGGTGCTGCATAAAATATAGTTCAGCCTTCTGAACTGATAACAGCCCCTAAGGATGATGTGTTACGTCCATGGCCTATGTACCATTCTTCCACTTAACGTAATATTTTTTTTAAAAACCTCACCCTGTATATATGTTTGTGTTGCATGTATTCAGCAAGCTAATGAAATATTTGCTTTGTCATATTTATCGTACTGTGCAGCTTAGGAGATGGTTGCAACTTTCCAACACGCCTGGTGATTATGGATCCTGAGCAGCTCACTGTCTCAAGTCAGAATGAAACTGTTAAAAGGTGTGTGGGGGGGCTTCTGCTATTACACATTCCCATGCCTGGGGGAGAGTTTTTATCTCATCAGCAGATAATTAGAGAGAAGAATTCACTTCCCAAATATCTTTAAAATAGTTCCCTTATTGTCTGTAAAGACTGTTTTATTGACTTATCTCATGGACATTTTCAAAAAGGGGATCATTGCTGGGGAGAGAATGTTGGGGGAACTTTCCTTTCGTCAATGCAAAAAATTGCCATCCCGACAATCATCAAGCTTTAAAATAACTTACACATTCTCAACCAATAACTTTAAACCTACAGTAATTGCAATGAGTGTGTATGAGAGAGTGAATGTGTAGTGTAACATTCATGAAAGAAAGTGTTTGTGGGGCTTCATGGGGTATCCTCACCCCTGCCTGGCATGAGGCTCTCAACTTGCTTGCCCAGCCTCAGCCCCTTGTCTGAAATGGTACATTGGACTGACTATGAAGTTTCTTTTTCTAGAGCAGAGAGAGAGATTCTGATGTGGGAATCCCACTCCCTTCAGACACAGGGCTAGCAAGGATTCTGGAGTGGGTTCCTGTAGGAGAAGATCACTCTTCTCCCCCATTTCTAAATGACAAACCAATAAGATTGATCATAGAAATAAAACCTGAGGAGGTAGGGATTATAGGATAGATATGTTAGATTCCATACAGGTTGAAGATATTGATGGGCCACTCTGTAAATACCTCTGCCTTTTTTCTGACAATGCCTGGCTAGGCTAAGTGCCCTGCCTCCACTATAAGAAAAGGACATCAAGCTTATTCTAACTGAAGATGTGTGCTGAGGGAAGCTGTCAAGGGAAACTAAGACTGAATTCTGCTCTTCCTCTTGAGCTCTTTTCTAACATCCAGTTTGGGTCATTTCTTCTTTAAATTAAATTCTGGGGTAGGGCAGAAGAAAGGGAAGATCACTTCCTGGCCCCAGTTCATCTGAGTCATGAAGTTCAGGTGTATGTGCAGATTGATGATGTGTGACTGGCTTATGCAGAATTCTTTTTTTAGCAAACAGTTTGTGATTATCAGCCCTTTTAAGGTAGACAAAACTTGGAAACCAAAGTTATGAATGCTAATACTACTTTCATTATAAGGTTACAGTAACAGAATCATGCAAGTCTGAATATGCTTCTCTTCTCCCCTCCCTTTATCTTCATGAAAACTTGGGAGGGTCTTGTCTGAGACACTTTCTCAAATTACATTTCTGCTCTGGACTCAGATACTTTTTATTTGACCGTTGTCTTGGTTGCAGTCATTCCTCCTGCTTCTCAAGATTATTCCTTCTGCCCAATATACATCTATTTCTGAGATGCATCTGGTAGATGTTACTAGTATTGAAAACATCATTTTCCAAATCAGGTGTTCTAGCAACAATTCAATAAAGCTTCAAATTGGTGATTGTAGTAGAGAGGTCTGTTTCATAAATCTTTTGTTATGAGAATGGGTTGAGAGAAGATCATTGCTCTCTGATGTTAGGGCTGAGGAGAGGGCTGGCACTTGTCCCTTGTCAAGGTCTGCCACTAGGAAGGCTAGGACTTGGGTAGTGGAAACTGATGTTGGAAGCTTCCTTTCTTTCTAGCCAGCCTGTAGAAGGATTGCCACAAAATTTATATATGTGAGTGGTAAAGACTCTTTATTTGAGTTACTGCAGGGCTGTCTGGTCATAGGTGCAGATCTTCAAAACTGCAGCCTGACTAGGTGTCCATGACTGGGTAATGAAAAGTACCTAGACCTTTAGGATGGAATATTACCTGGTGAAGTAATTATAGAAGCTTGAAAGTTGTCATTCCATTAAGAGGCCAGCAATTCAAGAATTGCAGCATTGATCACACTTCCTCAGGGATTCATGGCAGAGAGCTGAGGGTATGCCTTGCAATGGGTTGGTGGCTTAACCCCTTTTGCCCTTGTGTGCCAGAGGTCCTCAAAGGAATCTCTCACTGGCCTTTGGCTGTGCAAAAGATTCCAAAGAAGGAATCTAAAAATCAAAGAAAAGCAAAAGAAAGTTTAAAAAAAGTTAAAATGAGCAAAAATCTGTGATTGAATAGATCTTGGCTTTAAAGGTGGAAGTAGGAGCTCATGTAGTTATGCATGCTCTCCAAAGCAAGGAGGGCTTCAAGATAGCTACCTCCTCCAACAGGAAGCAACATCAGAATCCTTTCTATCCCTGCCTCTACTGTAGGAAAATAAGATTATACTCCAATCTAACTCTACATTTCAGCAGTAAAGGGAGAAACTGCTGTTGGTCCCCCACTTTCCCAAAATGCAGGGGGCTGAGGTTTGCAGGTGCTGTTTATCATTGGCCAGGCCAGAGCTATGGAACAGCCTCCTTCAAGGGAACAGAAGTGGACACCCCCCACCACCACAATTGCTGGCTTTCTGCAAGATATTAAAAACAGAACTATTCCAGAGTGCCTATATGTAATGGTATGTGGGAATAACCTTGGGCGACACAAGGAAAAGCCATAGACCCTCCCTAGTTTCTTGGGTTGTAAAAACAAGGGGGAGAAATGTTCTTTCAGACTTGCAAGATCCTGTTAATATAATCTTATAATAAAGTAGAATTAGTCTATCTGGTCATGCTTCCTGTCTGGACTACCACCCTAGGCTGACATTGTGTGGGATACATCAGTTAATTTGGTTCTATCGTTTGCATTCCTTTTTTATTTTTTAGCTTTATTTTTACCTTTACCATAGTTGTATATTAATTTTTTTGCTGATTCTGGCAGATTAAATAAATAATATTCCGCTCTCTGGAATATTCTGCTCCTGAAGGTGAGATTGCCCCCCACACTCCTGGCTTCCGGGAGGGCTTTGAAGACCTGGTTCTGCCACTTGGCCTGGGGTGGGGAGGGAATACTTCAAGCATGGGGATGGCTAGCCCCATAGAGGCCTGCTGCCTTCAGCCCCAGATACTTCATCTTCTTGGACTGTCTTCCTCTTTTTTAGTAATGTTTTTTAAATTTTTATGTGTTA